CCCCACACACACACGCACACACAAAAGCACGTACGTACACTCCCACACACCCACCACACACACATACACACATATTTTCTTTCTAAGACTGTGAGCTGTCAGTGTAGCAATAATGTCTTTAATTAGGCAGACAGCAAACCAAGTTGATAACATGATTGCGTTCAATGGAAACTTAGATTACTCGAAGTTCAGAGAACTCAGTCAGTATTGCCCTAAATTGTGCTGTTGTCTTTGCTCACAATGACTTAAAACAACAAAATCCAAGTTTTGCCAAGAACAAATTCGGATAACAGGGGTATTGGAAAAGGCAAAGAAAAAGACGACCTTGAGAGAACATTAACAGACATACAGCCAGCCAGGAAGATAAGTAAATAAAAACAGACAGGTGAATAAGACAGATAGACAAGTAAATACAAAACGTAAATATACTTACAGCTGAACCTGGAGTCGGCAGCTCCCCCATACCAGCCCGCCGAGCTGTGTCTCCCCGTGGGGTCCGCGTAGGCCGAGAGATCCCCGCCATTGCAGTACTGGGCGGCCCCTGGGAAGGAGGAGGTGTGGTGAGAGAACTGGTTCACGTAATTGGCGTACGGGTTGGTCACGGGCACGCCCATACTGCCCATGCCCATAGAGCCCATGGCCTGGTGCTGAGGCGAGCGGTAGCTGTGTCCCAGAGGAGGGATGCTAGCCTCGACCGTCTTTTTGAAGTCCGGATCCAGGGCGGAGGTAGGGGGCGGGTGCAGGATGTCGGTCACGGAGAAGGGCGTGGTGTGGCTGTGATGGGAGAGATGTGGGCGGGGACTCAAGGACATTTCCTAGGACCGCCCCTCCCTCGGTGAGGTGGTGGCGATGCTGGGGATGCTGCTACTGCTTGTGGTGGTGTTGGTGGTTTTAGTGGTGGAAGTATTAATGGTGATTGTGCTTTGAGGAGTGTCGGTGGTGTTGATGATATTGATGATGATGATGGTGATGATGATGATGATGGTGAAAGCAAAAAAGGTGAAAGTGTTGAGGTTTTCTCAATGTCTTGGTTGGTCGTCGTTGTGACTATGCTGACACTACTGCAGGATTTGTCGTTGATGATAAGGATTTGATGTCGTTTTGGTTTTCGCAGATATCGATTGATGTCGATATATTGCAGTTTGGGCTTTTCAGTGTACAGGTCAATGGAGCCCCGAAGATTCCTTTCCTGACGTGGCAGTAATTGAAGAAACAGTCGTAATGATGAGTTTTCTAGTACTGTAATTGCAGAAGTGTACCTGATAGGATCAAGTTGGTTGTTTCAACCCTCCACTAGGATACCTGTTGGAGAAGAAAGAAATACAATTTTGACAAGGATCAGGATTGGTGTCATATAAAACATGAGCAAAAATAAACAGTGGAATTTTTTCAAGACGACCACCCATTTTCGAGGAGAAAAATAGTTGTCTTGGACAGGTTCACATTTTGGACTGTATCACTTGTACAGATAAAGTTCTGTAATCGGTAATTGTTGATTTGTTTTGGGACCTTCTTAGTCATTGCACCGTTTTCGTTCCATTGTCTTGTCTTTTCTTAGAGAACATCTTCATCGATATCAATATGGTTCTCATCTTTGGTTTGTGTGTCTTTGCCCTCAGTAACATTCAGTCCGAACGGGAATTACTCCAACACAGATAAGTCTACTTCTCAGAAAGTGGTCTGTGTGTGTTTGTTGATGCTGGTGATGGTGGATGAAGTTTTTATATGCTTGTGTACATACACACAAGGAAAGAAAAAAAGACAGAGAAAGAGAGAGAGAGGGGGGAGGGGAGGGAGAGAGAGAGAAAGAGAGAGAGAAAGAGAGAGCGAGACAGACAGACAGACAGACAGACAGACAGACAGACAGACAGACAGACAGACAGACAGACACACACACACACACACACAC